TCCCTGTGGAGAGGTATGTGAGTATTTTTTTTTTTCTTTTCTTTTTTTTCTTTTTTTCTTTTTTTCTTTCTTTCTCTCTTTCTCCCTCCTCACTATATTCATGTTTTTCACTCTTAGGAGCTGGAGTTAATTGGCTATTGGCTGTTACTGCCTTTACTCTTACATTTTTCGCATATGTTTTAGTCACTTTAGCTGAGCAACGTGTAAAGCTTAGTAACTTATGACATTAAGTATAATCCAATTTACTTGATAATATTCACAACACACAATGAGAGAGAGAGAGAGAGAGAGAGGGGGTGGGTGAGAGAGAGAGAGAGAGAGAGAGAGGGGGTGAGAGAGAGAGAGAGAGAGAGAGAGAGAGAGAGAGAGAGAGAGAGAGAGAGAGAGAGAGAGAGAGAGAGAGAGAGAGAGAGAGAGAGAGAGAGAGAGAGGGGGTGGGTGAGAGAGAGAGAGAGAGAGAGAGAGAGAGAGAGAGAGAGAGAGAGAGAGAGAGAGAGAGAGAGAGAGAGAGAGAGAGAGAGAGAGAGGGGGTGGGTGAGAGAGAGAGAGAGAGAGGGGGTGGGTGAGAGAGAGAGAGAGAGAGAGAGAGAGGGGGTGGGTGAGAGAGAGAGAGAGAGAGAGGGGGTGGGTGAGAGAGAGAGAGAGAGAGAGAGGGGGTGGGTGAGAGAGAGAGAGAAGAAGAGAGGGAGAGAGGGAGAAAGAATGAGAGTAAGGGAGGGTAGGAGAGAGGGGGAACAGAACAGAAAGAGAAGGAGAAAAAAATGTATACACATGTATACACACACACACACAAGCAAAAAAAAGAAAAAAAACTCACGTAGCAATCTGCGCACACGGCGTGCCATCGGAGCTAACCGCAGCCTTGTCAAATTTTCCAAGCTCTGTCTCTGACGGAGGAGGTTCTGTGGCCTCATAATAGGAGCCATCCTTGCTCTCTCCCCAGGATTCAAACTGGCCCTGAGCTTTGGGCTGTGCTGGATTCTAATGAAAATAATAACAAATATGATAAGCATGATGAAGGTGATCATGATAGTAATTAAAAGAAATAATAATCAATCACAATTTAGTTATATCTGCTAAATATTACTTGAAAACTAATATGCTCAGTCAGGTTATGGAAATACACCAAATAATAAATCCAAGGCAAATAAGCTACAATGAAATAAAACTGTAAGAAGAAGAAGAAGAAGAAGAAGAAGAAGGAGAAGGAGAAGAAGAAGAAGAAGAAAAAAAACAAACTATTTCACCTTAAAAAAATTCTAACAAATCTACCTCATATTCCGACAACTTTTTGCCTTCACATCTGGCAACCTTACATCTTACTCTGACAATTCTGTATCTTCAATCATATCATTTTAAATCCCTATCAAACCGTTTCACCTTCACACAATTAATCTTACATCTTTATCTTTATCTACTTATCTCGTATCTTTATCTAGCAATTTTCCTCTGCCCTCGTCTATACTACGAAATCTACCCTTTTAAATACCAATTTTGAGAACTTACTGCCACTGCTATAGGTGGTTTGGACTCCTGTTTGACTGTAGGTTCGGAGTTCAGCCTGGGGAGACCTGGGGACGGAAATCTATCGTTACATGGAAGGCAGAAAGAAGAAGTATATATATATATATATATATATATATATATATATATATATATATATATATATATATATATATACACACACACACACACACATACACATATATATATATATATATATATATATATATATATATATATATATATATATATATATATATATATATACACACATATACATATACATATATATATATATACACACACACACACACACATACATAAATAGATAAATAAATAAATAAATAAATAAATAAATAAATCTATCTATCTATATATACATACATACATGCATATATATATATATATATATATATATATATATATATATATATATATATATATATATATATATATAACTATCTATCTATCTATCTATCTATCTATCTATCTATCTATATACACATCCACACACACACACACACACGCACACACTATATACTGATAATAAAAATAATAAAAAAATAATTAAAAAAAATGTTAATTCCCACATTAATATTGACATTATCAGACATGAGGAGGGGGGTGGGTGCACTCACCAACGCCGAGGCCCACGGCAATGGCTCCCACACAGCACACTCCCACCACCACGCATGTTATCAGCTGCTTTTTGGTTAGCTGAGCCCTGTTAGAGGGGGGGGGGGGAGATAAAAAAAAGAAAATTAATGAGTTGATAAAATCATATATAAATTGTATAAACTTTTATTTCATGTGATTTTGGAAACCTTTTCAAAAGTGAAAATATGATTTTTTAATTTTTTTTTATTGGCATGTGAAATTGTCATTTGTGAATATCATATGAAAGGAAATCTTATGTACATTACTTATAAGCACATTTTTTTTTCTATAAATACATTTTCACAGCTTAATGATACTACACACAATTACTATCCAAGAAAATGCTGGGTACAAAAATACAAACCTTTGCTTCCCTACATAATTATCACAAAAATATCAAATAAGAAAAATAATATATACAGAAAACCAGTGACATAAACTCAGTTCAGATCCTCATACACGCACACCACACATAACCAAATCAAAACAAAATCGTAATCATGAATAATTTGATAATCCGTGCCACACATTTACAGAAAGAATCAGGTACATTTCCTCTATGTATCAGTGAACCCAGAATATAAATCAGTACATCTGTCTTGTAATTCTTAACGGGATATCAAGCTACCAAAGACACATATCAGGTTCTTCAAAGCAAATAAAGTTTTAGATTTTAGTGCTCTAATGGCAGGAAGCACCACAAAAAACTTCTTGGTATTAACCGGTGATTTTTACAAGGAAGTTCTGGAGAGTAATTAACTGACTCTCAGGCTAAGTTCTCCCCACACCACAGTTTTATTTGCTTATACTAAAATAAAGTTTAAAAGATCAGTGAGCTGGAACTTTCAATTCAGCAATTTGAAAATAAACAGAAATCATAATGCAATAACCTGCTCGTCTTGGGATCTGCCTAACTTTTGGTACAACCGAGTACGAACTCATAACTGCTCTTCACAAGGATAAATCTTGTATTAGGAAAGGTATAAGTGGGGATGACCAGCAACACATCACAAGATAGGCAACTGATACATTTAGCAAATTAAATCTCTTCAGAAGTAAAGAAGTTATTAATTCTCATCTATATATACACCTTTACCCACATCTAACACAATGAAACTGTATGGATACTGTCCTGGACAAAGATGGCAGTACTACAATTGCAATTTGACTCATTACTCTGTTCCGTCTAACACACTTTTACAACTATATGCACACAGCTTCAGATCCTAAGTTCTTGGGACCTGAATTTAAATTTCCTACTCCCAACACTGACTCTTCCTTGATGCCATGACTAAACAAAGTATTTGACAAAGGAGTTCTAAAAAGCTTTATTCATTAAATAAAACTGAACTGAACTTACAAAAGGACAATATACATATACTTCTTTCCCATTTGAACATGTTAACGCAATCAGAGAAACCTACTAACGTGAAGTGTTTCAAAGGCAACTAAACACAAAAAATTAAATCCAAAAAGACATAAAACAAAATGTCAATTAACTACGGTTCACAGACTACCTGGAGGTAGGAATTCAAGGCACATGAAACAGCTCTCATGTCTCTTTGGTAAGGTGTACAAAATCATGCATAATACATGCAAAGACCATGTAATAAAAACAAAAAAGGATATGAACGAAAAAGAAGTAATCATCTGCAATCTCCACTGGATTACAAAGACACGTCAAAAAATTATAACAAATCTAAAAAAATAACAAAAACAAAAAGAAGCTAAAATAACAAATCCATACCACCTCTACGACAATCACACTTCATAAAAAATGTGAATTAAGCGCAAAATCATCACAGTGTAACGACTTCTCCTTTTCTCCATCTCGTTTCTTAAATCCATTACAAAATACATTACTCTCCATCTACGTTTTTCTCCTCTAGCCTACGTGAGTGACCAACATCCCCCTCTATGCTCACTTGCGACTGAAACGGCTATCAGCAGCTTGCCGACCTAAATCTTACACTAACTCTTGCTCTCTCTGGAAAAAAAAGCAGACAGTGATATATACATATGCAGAATCCTTCCACAGAATCTTCATTATAACCCGATTCAATAGCAATCAGGAATAAATCAAGAAAGAGTGCAATTTTTTTTTTTTTTAATGTTGCAAGCATATTTTACATAATGCAATAATAATACCAGCTCTGACTATATAAATAAGAATATACATTCTCCAACTAAAAGGATGGGAGACTGAGATTCTGAAAGCTAATTCTATAACTAGTAATATAACTTGCTATTTTGGTGCCATGTCTGTTCACATACATGGTTTTACTTATATTTGAAAGAAATGTGTTTATGTGTGTGTGTGTGTGTGTGTGTGTGTGTGTGTGTGTGTGTGTGTGTGTGTGTGTGTGTGTGTGTGTGTGTGTGTGTGTGTGTATGTGTGTGTGTGTGTGTGTGTGTGTGTGTGTGTGTGTGTGTGTGTGTGTGTGTGTGTGTGTGTGTGTGTGTGTGTGTGTGTGTGTGTGTGTGTGTGACTCAGTGTGTGTATGTGTGTGTGTGACTCAGTGTGTTTGTGTGTGTAACTGAGTGTGTGTGTGTGACTGATTTGTGTGTGTGTGTGAATGAGCGGGTGAGTGAGTGAGTTCAGTGAGTTAGTGAGCGGGTGGGTGAGTGAGTGAGTGAGTGAGTGAGTGAGTGAGTGAGTGAGTGAGTGAGTGAGTGATTGAGTGAGTGATTGAGTGAGTGATTGAGTGAGTGTGTGTGAGTGAGCAGGTGAATGAGTGAGTGAGTGTGTTTGTGTATCCGAATATATACATGTACAGTATAAAAAAAAAAGAGTTCTCATTCTGAATAAACATGAAAGTATAGAGTGCAAACGTGTGACTAAAAAGCGTGTACCTATAAAAAGAAATGTGATCCAACCAACAATGCTAAGGTAAGCACAATGCAGTACAATATAGCACATAGACTCCACAGAACACTGTACTTACCAAAAGTTGAAAATTTTACAAAGACATCGCAGTGGTAGCAAATCTCTATAACGAAGGTAGAGCAAACATCTAGCCATCTTGAAACATATGTATAATTTTGCCAATTCTGTCCCTCAGTTTCTAATCAAATATTTCAGGGCATTACCTCATTTTATTCCCTGTAAGACACGCAGCGCTCACGTAGCAAGACACGGAAGTGAAGAGAATGTGTTGAAATCTGATTGCATTATACACTTTGTACATTAGTAATAGTAATAACAATAATGAAAATAATAAAAGTTACAGTAATAATAGTAAAAATAATAATAATAATAATAATAATAATCATCATATTAATTGTAGTAATAACGAAGATAATATTAACACTAATAATGATAATGATAATGACAACATTAGCAAAAGTGATAACAATAACAATAATGATAATGATAGTAATAACAATAACAATAATGATAATAATAATAATAATAAAGTAATCATAATAATAATAACAACAACAATAATAATAATAACAATAATAATAATAATAATAATAATAATAATAATAATAATAATAACAATAATAAAAAGTAATCATAATAATAATAGCTATAATAATAATAATAATAATAATAATAAAAAAAAACGATAACAACAACAATAATAATAACAATAACAATGAAATTAATAATAACACAACAACAATAAAAAATAAATAAATAAAAAATAACATAATAATAATAATAACAATAATAATAATAATAAAAATAATAATAATAATAATAATAATGATAATGATAATGATAATAATAATGATGATGATGATGATGATGATGATGATGATGATGATGATGATGATGATGATGATGATGATGATGATGATGATGATGATGATGATGATGATAATAATAATAATAATAATAAATCTGATGAAAGATGTCCTATTAAAAAAAAAAAAAAAAAAAATTACCCTGCTTTTCGTAGGTATCATTTCCTAACTTTCTTAATCATATTTTTAAACCATTAACCTTCAATTCTGTTTACATAAAACCCCCTTTTTCCAATTAGACTCAGTTAATTCAACAGACGGCCTTATCACCCAAAGTTCCGAACCCAGAGCTGTGTCCATCTGCCCATTCACATATACAAAGTACCAAACTATGCGCACTGGTAGCCAACATTCTGCGAGCTGTCAACCACACCTTCACTATGCAATCTCTGGCCTTATTTCCCGCAGTCCTAGGAATATGAAAGGAATTCCTTAGGGTATGGGCAACTTGGTTTAGGGTAAGTTGCAAGCAGGTTACAGTTTAGTGATATCTAAATGATTGCTTGGGGGTTATTGGCATATGCAAGGTCGTTGTTAGTCCAAGGCTACTAAGAAGAAGAAGAAAAAAAAAAAAAAAAAAAAAAAAAAAAAAAAAAAATATATATATATATATATATAAAAAAATTAACATAAAGTCTAAATATCTTTCCTTAGTTTTTTTTTTTCATAAATATATCTAGATAAATGACATTTAAGTGCTATACTTTTATTTTATTTGTCCAATCCTCATTCCAATTTGAAAACCCTATTAAAAAAAGAAAAGAAAAAAAGAAAAAAAAAAAAAAAAAAAAAAAAAATCAAACAGATTTTTGCTATAGTTTTTTCCATATATATAATATTTACCTATTTATATTAATGCGTTCTCCTGGTTGATCGAGCCGATGATATCTCCCACGTCCATCATCGGTGTCAAAACTTTTCATCATTTTCCTTTTTATCTTGTTACTCAATCTGGTCAACATTAGTGCTTATGAATGTTGTGAGATCACGAGATTAGTATCCAAATATATTCATGTTTTAAATAGCTGCATCATTTGTGAAAGGAAATGAAATCTTCTATATGTTTTCTGATGATCACCTGAATATATATGAATAAGCAGGATTTCCATGCAGGTAAATCTACTGCCTAAAGACAAATGAAATGGGAAAAGAAAGTATTCACCATGTTTTTTTCTAGAGGGAAAAAATTACAAACATGCATAGCTCTTAAAGCTCTATCAAAAGATATTATAAAGCTCACTTGATACATGGGCAACAAAGTCTCTTGAATTAAAAAAAGAAACTCAGCTATCTAGACCATACCATAAAAAAGTCAAAGATATTAAAACTGATAAAATAAAAGTCTAGAGTATCCCACTATGGGTGGATCTGTTTACTATAAAGGCAATGGTTATTTTTTTCCGGAAAAAGTCCTGGCCTAATTTCTAATACAAACGATAGGAAAAATAAAGCAACGACCACTTTAATGTATATTATGCTAAAACAATCTTATTTGCAGCGGAATTACAACTAAATAAATGAAATCTTGAATCAAATATTCAACAGTAACATTAGCTCTTTTGATGTTACTTCACATTAGCTTAATATTATTCTATTAAAAATAATGTGTACTGCTAATATGCAGATTCAGATATTTTTGACTGATATTATCCATACTGATGACAGGGTTTAATAAAAAAAAAATGAAAATTATTATATTCATTTTGCAGAGAAGAGATGTAACAAAATATATAATTAATTTTTAATCAGATTAGATTATATTAATCATTTCCTCTAACATATTACAAGAAAACACCCTGTTCTACATGTAAACCGTCATTCAAATGTGTTGTACTTCATAATAATAAAAATAGTTCTCTCATGCTCATTAATCCCAGATGAATATTCTATAAGTGTATAATATCACATAACATAAATACAAAAAAAAGAAAAGAAGAAGAAGAAGAAAAAAATATATACAGATATATATTCCAAAAAGATATATTTTCCCAACAGAGCAAATCCTGTTAAATTTAACCACAACTCTAGCTTGTTAGTCACAGAAATGTTAATCTACTGAGTTACAAACAATGACAAAATGTGCAATGCAACACAAGTTAGATTTTTATATCCTAATCAACAACATTAATAATACCTTAAAGCCTTACCTAATTAATTCACCAATTACCTTTAAAAATTCCTAATTGCGTAAATCCTTATAAATGAAGATGAAAATCCAGGGGAAATTTCGAAGCTTTTTAATCAATAAACTTTTCAATACATTTTCTCTTTACTTAATCATTCTAAGTGACTGACTGCCGGTCAAATAACCACTGCCTTCTTGCTGCATTCTTGAAAAATAAATTGTTTTATCTCCTACGTAATTAATCTCTTACGTAATTATTTTTTTATAATCTCCTACGTAATTAATCTCTTACGTAATTAATTTCATATAATCTCTTATGTAATTAATCTCTTACGTAATTAATTTCTTAAAAACATATAAGCTGATATACGTTAATTATAATAAAATATAATGACATCCACTCTACCTTATAAACACCTGTATGTCATTAACTTCAATTTCAGCCACAAGGAACAAACCATCTAGCTAATAAAGAATACCATTATATGCCGGAATTATCCCTCGGAATTTTGGCAAAAGATTATCAATTTTATCCCAATATAAAACCAAAAGAATTCGATAAAAAGATCAAAGAAAAAATAAAAATAAACAGTTGAGTCGAATCTCGGTTTGTTGGCGTCGCTTCGTCTCCGGATCCGAGGCGGGGGGGGGGGGTGGGAGGGGGGTTCTTGCCGCATTCTGCTGGTTATTTATTTTAAGTCGATTTATTTGCTTTCTTGGGTTGTTCCTAGGGAGTTTTGGTTGTTTTGAGTGTAATTTGGGTTGCTCACACACACACACACACACACACACACACACACACACACACACACACACACACACACACACACACACACACACACACACACACACACACACACACACACACACACACACACACACACACACACACACACACACACACACACGTGCTTGTGTGTGCGTGTGCGCATATATCTATATCAATCTATATCTATATCTGATTCATATATATATACATATATATATATATATATATATATATATATATATATATATATATATATATATATATATATATGCGCGCGCGCGTGTGTGTATGTGTGTTATCTACCTTTTATATCTTCTTAATTATATATAAGTACATACATTAATAGATTTCAACAATTAGCGCCGAAGTGTCCATGATCCCTTTATTCAAATATAAACCCCTTTCCATGCCCTAGATTTGTGCACTACCCTAATGCCTTGCTTTTTTTTGTTTGACTTACTTATTTTTCTTCTTGTGGTTTTCCGTTTGTTTGTTTCCTGTGGCATGTTTTTTTTTCTTTTTTACCCTTTAAAATGATTATAGAATGTTTTTTACAGTTTCAGTCTCTCTTTCCCTTTGCTAAAGAATGTCCAATCATATTTCTACACTCGAGAAATGCTTTCAGAATATCAATATTTCAGTTCCTTTTGTAGGAAAAAAAAACGATAATTTTTTACAGTCAAAAATCTTTATGGAATTCTTGCTAATGGTTAATTACCTCTCCATTGTCATATCTAGAATGCAGTTGGGTAATGCAAAAAAAAAAAAAAAAGGAAAAAAGAAAAAAGAAAAAGAAAAAAAAAGAAAAAGAGAAAAAAGAAAAAAAGAAAAAAAGAAAAAAGAAAGAAAGAAAGAAAAAATATGCTTGGAGAGACAGATAACAAACTGATGTGAATAATGGATTTTCTTACGTCATCTTACGTGGTGCAAAGTCTTTATAACTTGCATTAACCTTGACGTGGTTAACTCGGGGAATCCCCTTCAGGTCAGTCGTGAGTCTTTTAAGGTGGCGTGGGGGGGGGGGGGGGGGGGGGGGGGGGGGGGGGGGGGGGGGGGGGGGGGGGGGGGGGGGGGGGGGGGGGGGGGGGGGGGGGGGGGGGGGGGGGGGGGGGGGGGGGGGGGGGGGGGGGGGGGGGGGGGGGGGGGGGGGGGGGGGGGGGGGGGGGGGGGGGGGGGGGGGGGGGGGGGGGGGG